CACCGGCGGTAAGTTTGGCTGCCCTACCCCATTTAATAGAGGCACGCTGCATGGCGGAGTCAAAAATGGCTTGGCGCGTGTTACTGCGCCATGATAGCCTAATCTAATAGCAAGGGTGTGGATGAATTCACGAATGGTGAACTGATAAAGTACGTCAGAATTGGGGAGGGGAGGAGGGAGAGAAGGGGACAGGAAATAAGAAGGGAACAAAACGTAAGACCTTATTGCGCTCATGCCTGGAATTCGCACCTTGCCCAGGGAGGTCCCAAGCGGGGTTGCGGCGGAAGGTTTTGAGAATGGTTGGAGGATTGTATACGGAGGAAGAAGGGACATCGCGGGTGTTGTTGAGAAAATCAGCGGGTGAAGTAAGGGCGCTTTGTTGGGAAGAATCTGCTAGTGTACCACAATGGGTACATACGGCCGAGCCTAGATCTTGAGCCCATTCAGTATGATTTCCGCATTCTTTGCAGTTATTAGACATTTGGTGGTAATGGTGGTGGTGGTTGGCAGCGGTTGGCAGTGGTCGGTAGGGGTTGGTAAAACGGCGAACGGCGGAGAGCGGGAGATATAATAAATAAATAAATAAATAAATAACAATGACATCGTTATCATTATCATTATCGTTTATCTTATCTCTTATCTAACCATTACCATCATTAACACCTCCCGTCCCTCCTTCGGGACATCACACGCATACATTCATTCATTCAAGTAAAATTCTCTCATCACCTTTTGCCCTATAAAATCCATCCTACTTTAAACAGACCATTCCTTACCTTCATCCCCCATCTAAAATCTACTGCTTTCTTTTTGTCTTTTTAAAATCATGGCTCCCACAGCGCCTCATCAATTCGAATCAAAGCCTTCCGATGCTGTCAGGCGCAGGCTTTCCAACGTCAGCTCTGCCAAGCCCAACATTCTCGGGTTCAGTAGCCTTACTGTTCGCTCTCTTTTTTTTTTCTTTCTCAAACACTCAACTCCTAGTAGCCTATGTGGGCCGGTATTGCGGGTTCTCTCCTAGCAAACAAGGCTGGCTTTGAAATCGCCATCTCGGTCCACGATTCTGTCTACAACACGGACTTCAGCTCCACAATCCTCCCGTACGATGCCGCCCAATCGGAATACAGAGGTGATCGAATCTCATATCATTTCGACTCTCCGGAAGTTCTCTTCAGAACATCTCTGCAAGTTCCTGGGTGCAGGTGTTACCCTTAGTCTCCTTCGTGAGGTTCGCCCCTTTCTAATCCCATCCTTCAATCACCTCTTTAACACCGCCTCTAGGCTCCCAATCTATGCACCCGTTTATGGTTGGAGCTCGATATCGTCCCCATCGTCTTCAATATCAAACCTTATCATACCGACTCCGCCACTCGCACCAATATCAAACACCGCATTGGGTCGGCCACAGGCTCATTTGCGCCATCAGGTGCTGAAACACCCACCGTCCTTGTAGATCCTTCCGTCCTTGGACAGGCCCAGGGTTTACTTTCCACTGGTGGTGTTCAACAGAGGCTTCCCATTCCTCGCACTATTGATGAACAAGCCGACTCGGCTGCCCGCAAGGCACTCTTGTACTTTGGTCCGGGTAACAATCCCCGCCTTTCTATTGGGCCCCGCAATCAGGTTGCAGTTGATGCTGCCGGAAAAATCCATCTCATAGATGATCTTGACGCTTATCGCAACTCGGTTGGCGAGGGTACGTGGAACGCTGTCGTTCAACTGGCCGACGAACTTCGCGAGAAAAAGGTCAAAATCGGCTTCTTTTCTTCTACACCACAAGGCGGTAAGTCTCACCCCCGTCTCCTGTAGACAAAATGAAGATTTAGATTGTCATCCTGTTCGCTCTTCCGCTTTGCGCACCCTTCTGCAGGTGGTGTCGCTCTGGTGAGTTTCAATGTTTCGTTATCTGTCAGAATCATCGCTAATACAAATCCATCTGATCTGATTGTAGATGAGACACGCGCTTATTCGCTTCCTGACCCTTTTGGACGTTGACGCTGCCTGGTGAGCGCCCGAAGAGCTACATATTTTTACCCCACAGTTCGCTAGATCACGGCTCGCCGCACACTTCGGAATGCAAATCACGCAGCTTCCCTTTTGTTCTTTCTCTTCTTGTCACATGCCCTTTCTCGTGTGAACACAGCAAACTGACTTATTTTCTTTTCCCCACCGGTTCAGGTACGTCCCGAATCCATCACCTTCCGTGTTCCGAACGACAAAAAAACAATCACAACATCTTGCAAGGCGTCGCTGCGCCGACTCTTCGCCTGACTCAGGAGCAAAAGGACAACTTCGACGCCTGGATCCTTAAGAATGGTCTACGTTGGACAGCTGAGGGTGGTCCGCTCGCGCCCGGAGGCGTTGATGTGGCGTTCATCGGTGCGCATCAACTCTTGTATGCCCCAGCACCAGGCTGACGTCACTTACCCTTTCCAGATGACCCACAGATGCCCGGTCTGATCCCTCTCATTCGCAAGGTCCGACCGGAGGTTCCCATCGTTTACCGTTCACACATCGAGATACGCAGCGACCTCGTGCACAAGGAAGGTTCTCCTCAGGAGGAAGTGTGGAAGTACCTCTGGAATAACATCCAGCACGCCCGATCTGTTTATCAGTGCGTTCGGATATAATCACCAACTTCTGGTTTGGTCAAAGTTTAACTTGGCGTACATAGGTCACCCAGTGAACAAGTTCGTCCCGAGCGATGTCCCGATCGAGAAGGTCTGCTTGCTTGGTGCTGCCACTGACTGGTGTGTGCGCTACCCAAGAGCATGGCATACTGTCTTCTGACGCAGTACACGCAGGTTGGATGGCCTCAACAAGGAACTCGACCCATGGGATTCCCAGTATTACATGGGCGAGTTCCGCTCGCTGTGCGCGAAGGAAAAAATGTCAGAACTCGCTTGGCCCTCGCGGAGTATGTGATTCAGATTGCACGCTTTGACCCATCTAAGGGAATTCCAAATGTCATCGACTCCTACGCCAAATTCCGTGAGCTATTGAAAACCAAAGGAAAACTTGACGAGGATGAATCACCTCAACTGCTCGTTTGCGGACATGGTGCCGTTGACGACCCTGATGCGAGTATCATCTACGATCAGGTCATCAAGCTCATCCATTCCGATGCTTACAAGCATCTGGCCAAGGATATCATTGTCATGCGCATACCTCCAAGCGACCAGTGTACGGAGTTTCTACCATTTCACAGGGTGTTGTTATTGCTAATGCTGCCACAAGTGCTCAATGCTCTAATGGCAAATTCAAAGATTGCATTACAGCTGTCCACGCGCGAAGGATTCGAAGTCAAAGTTTCCGAGGCGTTGCACGCAGGCAAGCCGACCATTGCCTCGCGTACCGGTGGTATCCCACTTCAGATCCAACATGGAAAATCGGGCTATCTATGCGACGTTGGCGATAACGATGCAGTTGCCGGTCATCTCTACGAGCTCTACACAGACGAGAAGCTCTACCAGGCTACGTCCAAATTTGCGCGGGAAAACGTTTCCGATGAGGTTGGTACAGTCGGTAATGCTGCCGCATGGCTTTACTTGGCAGTCATGTACTCCCGTGGTGAGAAGATCAAACCACACGGGCAGTGGATCAACGATCTGCTGCGTAAAGAAACTGCCCAGGTGTACAGGGAAGGTGAACCCAAGTTGCCACGTGGTGGGCTGGACGTACTAGGCTGAATGAGGTGTGATCCTCTTGGTTTGTCTTGTATTAGAACATCAAAGTTTGACGTAGCGCTGTATTGTTCTGGCTGTGCTAGAAGTGTACGAACGCGTAGATTTTCCTGCTGTTTTTTGAAATGGTAAATGGTAGTAAGATTGAAAATCACAATGTTCGGTGGGATCTGAGGAGAACACCCATTGTCAGTTCTTCAGTTCTAAAATGTTTTATTTTTTTGTTTCTTTTATTTTTGTGTTTATTCAAAGACAAACAAATAAAATTTTGCATTAACTGGGAATCGAACCCAGGGCGGGTCGATAACGCTAGAAGCTGGCAACGACCCAGGTTACCACTACCCCATTAATGCCCGTAATTAATAGAACCCACTGAATTATATGTTTATCCCAAACTTCTCACGTCACTTTTTTACCAAATGCGTCGCGTCGTCAAATTTGCTCCTCCTCCAACTACTTGGAGGAACCAACGAGAACAGTACAGTACGGCTATGTCTGCAACACTTCCTCTCTTTTGGGATCTCTCCTCCGTGGATAAGGGGAAGCGCATTGATGCGTCTGTCGAGCTCATCAGCACGCTGGAAAAGCTTCAGGCATCATTGGAGCACAGATCTGCCGAGTGGAACGAATTCTTGGGTGAGGATGATATTGAAGAAGAACAGTACGCGCAGGGTGCAAGCGCGGCGAGGAGGATGGTACATGAGACCAGGCTCGACGTGTTGAATGCACCCGATGTCGCATATTCGATTCGCCGGCTCGTGCGCGGACTTGCAAGCCCGAGGGAGAGTAGTCGCCTTGGATTCGCCGTCGCCTTGACAGAGGTATGCGCATAGTTATGCTTCCCTTTTATTCCCTGATTCAAGCTCTACGAGCTACTTTCCCGTGTCACCACGGTCTCTTGCGCGCAAATTCTTGCGCTCCTTCTCGAGGGATCTCGCGCGACGAGCAACCAAACTGGCCAAGAAGAGCGCGACTTGCTCTTTGCACGTCTCTTTGGCCTCACTGCGATCGTCCATTCCGTCTCTTCCTTCGTGTGCGCCCCCTGCTGCCTCACTCTGCCTCTGCACCGAGCACGCTCGAAAGCTGTGCTTCTGTGTTCGCCGCTTTGCGCGCACTCGCGTGTGCCAAACCGTGGATTGCTGAGGCGGCGTACTGGGCGGATCGGGTGCGCAATGGATGCACTTGCTGAAGCAAATGATGACGACTTACCATGGCGCGAAGAAGCTCTCCGCGTACTCTTTGATGAGGAGTTTGGTGACTCTCACTCGACTGATAAAGGAGCGGAGCAGGGCCGGAGTTTGTGGACACCAGAGAAGATTGCACTCGCATGCGTGCACAGAGGCTGTGGCCAGAAACGTGAGCACGAGTGGCGCGGGCTGTGGGCACCAACCATTAAGCATGGGAATGTGCTGCATCCATCTAACTTGGTGACACTTGCAAGGATACTTAGGGTGCGTGAATTCGAGGGCCTACTTGTCGCTGTGCCTCAAGGGTCAAAGGGTTGCAGGAAGGCGAGATTGAAGATGATGAAAGTGTGGCAAAAATACCCAGTCGGGCATGGAGGCCGCAAGTCCATCACGTCTGGGATGAGCTTCTGAACGAGCTATTATCTCCGGAGGATAGTGGCGCACTCCGAGGGGCTCATTCGAAGACTTCTTTCGTATTGTCGTTGATGGTGGGTTGTCTTGACGCGGAAAATCCATATTTTTTTATCAGCTGTCGCACAGAGTCACTCTTTGCAGAGTCTGCGTCGAATGAGCGAAAGTACTGGGGTTTTGTAATTTTTCAGAAAGCACTGCCGCGCGTCAAGGCTGTAGACCTGCCGATGTTGTTCACGAAAAATTTCATGAGGACGTGGATTAATCACCTATCGCATTTGGACCGCTACCTACATTCGTTTGCTAGACAAATTGCGAGTCCTGTTATTTGGTTTCTGATGTCGGTGTATGCTGATCGACAAGTCTTGCAGGCAACGAAGATTATTTCCACAGTGCAAAGGGACCCCACACTTGGACTCGCTTTCATTTTGCAACTGACGGGTGTTCATGGAAATCAGCAGTTCGACAAGCTAACGAGAACCAAGACTGTCGAGTCAATACTCACCACGATGAACGTCGAGGGTATCAAAGTAGATTATTGCACGTCTGATGGACTATGCACGCGGAGGACATTCCTATTGGCAGTTTGGTGTCTGACCTTTTCGAACATTTCCAATAACTCACCAAGAACCAGGCATGATATTCAGGTTATCGATGCACGTCGTTCATGGGTCATTGAACAGTTCGCGGCCCTCTTTCGTAACTGTGCAATACCTAAGAACGATGAATGGATGCACTTGATCTTAGACTGGTTCGTCATTCACGGTATCTTCATTGTCAAGAAGAAATTTCGAAGGGGTTCACCCGCTGCTGTACGTTATACTCCCCACCCTCCCCTCTTTACTCAGCGTTAATGGCTAATCACTCTAACTGGATGTGCAGGCTTACGGGGTGCCTTTGCCGCCACTCTCGGACAATCTGCGGCGCGAATGCCGCGAGTGTTTGCTCAGTTGTTTGGCAGATCTCACCCGGTTGTCAGCTGTCACCAAATCAGCTAACCAAACGCAGAAGATGAAGGGTTTCGCTTCGGATGGCCAGCTCTGGATCTCAAAAGTTTTTGCAAACCATTAGGCAATTGGAAGAGGACCCGAAACATGTCGAACCTCTCATATATTTTGATCAAGCAGATCGGGAGAAGCTCCAAGATGCTTTCAAGATGGTAATCTGTTTAAGAAAGGTCAGCTCAAGACTGCTTTTGGTCCCAGTTTTTCTCTTATAAAATTTCACATGTCTAGGTTTCCGGTGACAAAAAGGAGGAAGCACAAGGTGTCGAGTTACTCCTACAATCCTGCATTCTTCGATTTTACGTCGGGGATAGTAATCACAGGGGAGATGTAGCATCTCTTGAGGTGATATATCCACTGAATACCCGAATCTTTCTTTGGCTGACCTCCCTACGAACTAGTCATGTATCGACAGTGCATCTCGCTTGTTTTCTCTATCGCAAAACAATCTTGACTCAAATGAGTCTTTCAAAGACGACGAACTCCAGGTTGAACCCATCGACATTCTTGCAGATCTAATCATAGGCTTCCTTGAAATGGGACTGCATTTACGCGTGCTGTGGGCAATCAGACCTTCTCTTTGCTCAGTAGTGCAGTCAAGGACAGCACGATTGGCTTAATTCTTACTGTGAGTGTTTCCATCAACCCTTTTGGGTGTCATTAATGCAGTCTACAGCAACTGGAGCGCCGGGATCCTTCCGAGCTTGTCGCCGATTTTGACGAGATAGACGAGGATGACAATCAGTCTTTTGAAAATAATCATGACATGGGCGGCGGCAGCAATGCAGAGTCATTCCTTACAGGTGTGAAAGACGATGAGAACTCCAAGAGCGATGAAGCAAGTAATGAGGAACTTCGAAAGAAGACTACAGGATTTACCTGGGCGAATAGCACAGACGCCAAGGGTGACATGTCTGGCGAAGAGTCAGAAGCGGGGCCTGACGATGACCAGATGTTGGCGATGGATGACCAACTTGCGCTGATATTCAAGGATCGAGCTAGAGAGAAGAAAGGCAAAGGAAAAGGTTAATGGTCTTTCTTTCGTGCGTTACTTGCATTGATAGGACTCAGATGGAGCACAAAGGGAGCTACTCACTTCAAAAACCGGATCCTGGATCTCCTAAACATCTTTGTTCGAAGGCAGCCCAGGAGCCCGCATATCTTACGGCTTCTTGTCCCGCTTCTCGTTCTGACATTCTCTGACGAGAAACAACTATCCGAGAAAGCTGCCGGGCTTCTCAAATCACGTATTGGCAAGCTTAAAGAGGTTCCTTCAGCTATCGACATTGTAAAGACTTCGGATATCCTGAACGAGCTCCATATCCGTGCACGCAAGGTGCACTCGCGCGACGCACTTGCCGCTATCGGCCTTTGTAGTCTTTACGTATCAAGATCCCTGCTTAGCGTGGGCGCTGAAGAGACCGTTCGGTTAGCGTATAATGTGTCGCTGATAGACTTCACTGAGCGCAAGGCCTCGGATCTCGACACCCAATTCTTCTGTGACTTTATCAGGCGATACCCCCGCGCTGCATGGGGCATGCGCGCGGTGCTGCTTGATGCACCCGCGAAAGCTGTCAATACCTATCGGCAAGGCCAGGCTTATGTACTCCTGCAAATGCTACTAAATCACCTACCACTTCTCGTAAGCGTGGTCCCTATTTTTTCGCTTTGTTCTGCAGTTGTTAATGGTGGTTGCAAGCCGGACACTGAACTGGAGGAAGTTGGAGCCTTCTTAAGGCAGCTGCAGTGCAAGTTGTATAGCGTGATTTCCTCCGCTTGCAACACGAACGCGACATTTTCATCAAACCTTAAGGAGGTGCTGAAATTGGCACTCGTTGGTGCACGCACAGCGAGGCGTCTCGCAGCTGGTTGCAAGTCGTTTGCGACCATCTGGGAACCTACAAGTTGGACAGAGCTGTCCAACCGCTCGTAGCACATGATCGCTTTAAGGCGTCCGCGATGCTGGTCGGAATCTGCAAGCAGATTATTCAATCGACACAGATCTACCAAGTCCCATCAAGCATCAGGGAGGCAGAACACATAGATGGGCAGGGGTTGGGAGTCATTGGTAGAAGCAAGCGAAAGGCAGATGTCTGTTTAGACACTGGGGTATCAGACAAAAGACGGAAATAAATGACTGCACTTCCTTATCCTCAGCATTCCCATTGGTCCACAGGAATACTCTAACACTGATAGCGACTCACGTCAGGTCGATGCCTCATTGACATAAAGATGGTGTTTGAGGACATATTTAGACTCATGATGTTTTCTATATGATTTTCACAAATCGTCAAGATGGAGATTGGGCGCCATCGAAAGAGTGCATCAGTTAGTGATGTCGAACTAAAGCAGAACGTGGATGAAATGAGCCGAACAAAAACAAATACCAGAAAGGATGTTGTAGGCTCAGCGCAGAGAAACACATAACGAGTTGGTGAGGAAAAAGAGGGGACAGGCCGAGATGAGCAACCAATAACGTCATAACAAACTATCTGCACCTAGAGTCTAGAAGGACCGCGTTGATATGAAAGCTGATGCATTCCATGTCCGTGACTGTAGATTTAATGGACAATAATAATACGAAAAACAAGATGTCAGGAGCTTGCTTAAAGACACTTTGACTCAGGCGGCGAGGGTGGAATGGGGATTAGCCACATATATAAAGACAACGAAGATGAAGACAGATAGCTGTGAGTCCGTATGGGTGCATCTACACTTGCGCGTTAGGGTGTACACTCGGCCAGATATCGA